GGGGAGCAGGAGCCAGTGCTGTGGGGAAGAGCCGCTTAAAAACTGCTTACGCTAATGAAGCCCGGGAAATTCAAATCCCGGGCTTCATTAGCAAGTTCGGTATGCATACATTACCCCGCTAGTTCGAACTAGCGGGGTAGTGTAGACATACCCTCTCAGAGAGAGGCAGTGGGGAAGGGGGAGAAGGAGCCAGTGCTGTGGGGAAGAGCCACTTAAAAACTGCTCACCGCCCCCCAGCATCGTCTGGGGTGACAGGGGAGGCAGAAGTATAGGGGGAACTGAAAGCGAGCTGGGAATCAGCTGTCCCGGCTCGTTCCTGGACCCCTCCCCCTGCTACGCCTCTACTTTTTAAATGTATTAAGAGTCTAATGGCTCTTAATAAATTTAAAATGAGAGGTGAAGCTGGAGAGACTGGGAGTGAGCCAGCTGTCCTGGCTCATTTCCTATCCCCCCACTGAGCCTCTGCTTTTTAAAGGTATTAAGAGCCTGATGGCTCTTAAAAAGGCAGAGCCGCAGTGGGGTTAGCTCCTGGGGCTGGGAGCTAACTGCTGCAGCTTTGCAGTTTCTCCCCTTATTGACTAATCGAATAGCTCGATTAGCTGATTACATGCAATTTAACATCTCTAATTCCCTTCTCAGTGATTTTCTGTCAGTCCAAAGATTGATGAATGGTATAATATAGATATGGCTTTCATCAACCTAGGTTCACATTCAACAACTGAAGTTACGTAATAGTAAGATTTATTGCTCTGTCCAGCTATTAATAATGTGCTCTGTCTGATTGCTTTCTTGTTATATTTAAGCAACCCAGTGTATAAACGTTTCAGAAATGGAGTACAAATTTGACTTGTTTGCTTTTGAATACAATTCTTTTCCCTAAACTACACATGAGAACTCATCAAACTCGCTGCCAACTCTTGTGAACTGACAGACTCATCCTTACAAATCATCAACTCTTCTTCATGCATTCCTTTTTTAAAGAAACTGCTGGGATGAATTACTCAGCATTTTATAACTTAAATTCTTTCTCCAGCATTCTGGAAACTTGATTTAAAAATCTATTCAAAAACACAAAAAAGTACTGCTTGCTTTGATAATGGTGACTTTTAAAAAAAATGCATTCACTTTCTTCCAAAACCTGAATGAGGTAGAAACAGTGACATATTAAAAAAAAATGTATACAATCAAGAACTTTACCAATGTTTTCTGATAAATGGTTGACAAACAAAATAGATCAGACAGCTGTAAGCATAAGGAATTGTTTGTAATCAAATATAAATTTTTGAGTGATAATTCTAAATGAATTAAATTCCATGTGCTCCTTCACTGTTCTCTGTAAATCAAAATAGTTATGAACGTTTATAAACCAAAGCTTAACATTTGTTTTTCTACCCCGTTCTAATTTTTTTACAAAATAGTTATGAACGTTTATAAACCAAAGCTTAAAATCTGTTTTTCTACCCCATTCTAATTTTTTTTAATCATTCACACTGGGTCTGTTGACAAAAGCAGACTTTCAAAGTTCTGCTTAAATACTATTATGAATTCAGTTAACAAAAATAAATTAATCAGTAAAATACCTGTTGCAGAGGAGTCATTGACAGAATAGTGGTCAGGATCAGATACTTGATATGGTTAGATGAGATCTTCAGTGACATTCTATCTAAAATATTAAGGGTTGTGTGCTAAGAGGGAGGAAAAATTCCTTGTTTTGACTTCCTCTTGTTGAGTTATAACTTGTGTTCCTTATTACTAAAACTAAAACATACTAAAGAAGCTTCAGGGGGTAGCCGAGTTAGTCTGTTACAGAAAAAAATCAACAAATGGTCTGGTAGCACTTTATAGACTAACAAAACATGTAGATGGTATCATGAGCTTTTGTGGGCACAGCCCACTTCTTCAGATGACCGGAGTTATGTACACCTCAGTACAGTTAAATAATGAACAAATTTCCACCACCCTATATCAGAAACCCACCGACCACTACACTTACCTTCATACTTCCAGCTCCCATCCCAGACACATTTTTCAGTCTATCGTATACAGCCAAGCCCTACAATACAACTGGATTTGCTCCTACCCTACAGATAGAGACAATCACCTATAAGATCTTTACAGAGCATTCCTAAAACTGAAATACCCACCTGGGGAAGTGAAAAAACAAATTGACAGAGCCAAAAAAATACCCAGACATGGACTACTTCAAGACAGACCCAAAAGAGAAAATAACAGAACTCGTCTTGTTGTTACCTACAGTCCATAACTCAGACCCCTCCAACACATTATACACAATCTACAACCCATCTTGGAAAATGACCCCTCACTCTGAGGCCTTAGGAGAAAAACCTATTCTTGCTTACAGACAACTCCCTAACCTGAAACGTATTCTTTCTGATAACCACGCCACTTACAGACTTTAGTCTATAAAGTGCTACCAGACTATTTGTTGTTTTTTTCATACTAAAGAAATTACTTTTAGTAGCTGAAACAAAGCAGTTCAATAAAATGTCAGACCTTAAAATGATAAAATTAGTTGAACTTTAATAAAATCCCTTTTAAGACAGGCTCTGTTGTTACTAATAATGTATCTACCAACTTTTTTGCATAGGCTACCATGTTTTGAATTCTGTAATCACTAATTTCTAACTAGGTGGGAAAACTAATCTGTAAATGTAATGTATGTTTTTTTTTCCTGAAGCAAACGTTTGCCGTTTTATGAGCAGTGGAACTTTAATTTATTTAGTTTTCTCTGTGAGAATGCTATTAAATTGTCTAGCTCTTGCAAATTTAAATATAACACCTTTTTAGCACTTGTATACTAAAACAAGGCTTCTTGTCTGGATTCTCAAAGTGCTGCTCTTCAAAAAGTGATAGTTAACATGGAATCCCATTATGCCTTCCTAGTGATCTGTAAATTCCACAAGTTCACTTTTTTAAATTTAAGTGCAATGTAAGATCTACCTCAAACCCAAATACTCTTGCTCCGCTTCTTTCCCGCCTCAGCTCCACCCCTCCTCCAAGGCCTCATCCTGCTCACTCCATCCTCTTTTCTCCCCCATCCTCACTCATTTTCACCAGGCTGGGGTAGGAATTTGGATAGCAGGCTCTGGTCTTGGGCCAAAGGGTTCACAGTGTGGGAGGGGTTCAAGGCTTAGTGAAGGTTCATATCATATGAGTGGGGGAGGGGGGGAAGAATCCAACAAACACTAGGGTACATGACGTATTAGTGTTACTATTAAACTATTGAAAGTAAAATTTGCATTTTTGTACTGTTATATGTAGATGGAAACTGTACTCCATTTCCTTCTAGTGAAACGTTCTTTGAATTTTGTGCTCTGGAATACCAAATGATAAAATGATACATGGCACAAATGTTTTCTCTGATTTACTGCCCAGTCCCACAGATTGAATACTCTTACCCAGCCCTTATTATCTGGTGACATCCTAAATACACATGTGTACTCACCCCTGCGCTGTCTCTTGCACAGTTACATGGGAGGGGGAAGTGGCTCCCTGGAAGCTGGATTTTAAACCAGTTCCCCATGCATGCTGGCTCCTGCCTGTCCCCTCCAAATGTGTAACCATACTGTGTGTAATCTGACATTTTCAGCAATTACACGTTTACTTGAATAAATGCATTTTAATATTTCTACTCAAGATCAAGATTAAAGGCTCGAGCTGTATAAGGAAACAGCTTCTCTGCTCAGCCAGTGTACTAGTGCTGAATCTGATACTGAGGCAGCAGCATGGTGTGTTTGTAGGGGGTAGATGGCTCTGCAGGAGCTGGTAGGCATGAGAATCAGCTTTTAAGATGGCTTTCCATGCCTACCAACTCCCACCTGCTGCCCTACACTGCTGCTTCTGATACAGGGATGTGGGGGATGGTGTGTGGAGGGAAGGCCCTGCATGTAATTATGTATGTTAATCGATGAGCCCAGGCTCACTGATTAACTGAGTACATGATTATACTTTCACATCCCTAGTTTTACATAACAGATAATCAGCAATAGGGATGTTGGTCTGTAACCAACTAACTATTTAACCAATAAGCTGATGCTTATTGGTTAATGGTGTCAGTTATACTCAGCTGGTTCCCCAGGAGCCCGAGGGCAAGGGTTGCCAGCTCCTCCCTGGGAGCTGGTGACCCCACTTCTGGGGAGGCTTCGCTGTGGAGTCTGCAGTATAAAACATATTTAAATATACTGTAGAAGCTGCAGCGTGTAACTGCTGAGATATACAGGAAATTGCTATATCTGTCACATCATCTGCTGTCCATAACAAAGCAACACCGTAAATCTAATGCATAAGTATCACATACAAAATCGAAGTGGTGAAATGATAGATTGTACAGAAGTATTTCAAAATAGTGGTACTGTATAACCCCCATAAGAGCATGGTAGCATTAGCTCAACTTTGCTATGGCTTTTTTGTTTGCTTTGACCATAGGAATTTGACCCCATTTTATGCATGAGGATGATATAACAACACTGGAAATGTTTTCTTTTGTGAGATTGTAGCAAACCTAATACGTTAATACTACGTTGCCAAAAATGGGGTTTGCTCAGTATGAAATTGCTGTTTTTCAAATACTTAGGTTTGTTACAGGTTTAAATAAGAGTCACATTTCTTACTTATGCACTTTTATATCTTCTCATAATTTTGTACAGGTGAAAAAGATAACCAAGATCTTTTTTCCCATTCATTGAAATGTAAGCTCTTGTTGTATATGTGACTGGTGTAGGAAAGGATTTAAAATTAAACACTTTCTAACACTTGATTGACATACTGTTTAACTGTGTTGAATGTGCAAATATCAATGATCTGACTTCATAGTCATTATCAAAAATAAAAAGCTGAATGCGCATATAATAGAGGACATATATTCTATACACTTGAAACATAATCGAAAACGTGAACAAAATTACTTCACCAAATTTCAAAAGTGACTTTAAAATAGAATAGTTAATGCATTCATTTACATATAATCACATGAACTTTTTCTTTTTAATATCTAGTTTAAGGAAGAAATCTCTAAGCGTTTCAAGTCCCACACTGATCAACTTGTATTAATATTTGCTGGAAAAATTTTAAAAGATCAAGATACTCTGACCCAACATGGGATTCACGATGGACTCACTGTACACCTTGTCATCAAAACACAAAACAGGTAACTTTGTTGATGAGCTGTTTTCTGTTTTTAGCCATTAGAAACCAAATAACCATTCTTGTTAGACAACTTGTTGTGCCTAGCCATTAGAAACCAAATAACCATTCTTGTTAGACAATTTGTTGTGCCGCAGAACTAGATCTGTGCAGCAGAACTAGATCTAGCTAAACTATATCCTTGATGATTTGTTCCCTAAATTCTATGATAGTAGGATACTGAGAGTGTCAGCTTCCTTTCTTGACAGTCACATGCCACCTTCTGAATTTCACCACTGTACTTAGAACCTTCCAGTCAGCTCCGTCTTGACTTCAGTCAGTGAAAACAGTCACAATGCTCTTTTTAAGAGTATTGATTGCCATATTCCTCCCTTCTAGATGGGTTTAGGTTGCTTATAGAGTAAAAAAAATAAAAAAAAAACCCCAAAACTAAACTGTTTCTGTTCTCCTCCCTTCTAGATGGGTTTAGGTTGCTTATAGTGTAAAAAAAAACAAAAAAAAAACAGGGTTGAACAGTCAACCCTGGTACAGGAGTGCTAAACACCAGTATTGTTTGTTGTCTTATAGCTGCTTCAGTTTTTGCCTCTCTCGAGTGAAGCCAGCTTGTTTAGCAACTTCAAACAATGCCCAATAGGCAGAAACATACCTGCAAAAGATAGACATATAACCTGTATTTCTACCTTTAAGTCAGTCTCTGGTGTAGAATGTGCAGAAGCCCTATTGGAATGATTTTAATTGATAATACAGGTATCACCAGGACATCAGTTTAACCTTAAATACCTTTATCGAATTCAAAGGCCAAATGCTATTTAAAGCTGCTCCACACGTGCCTTAAATATTTAAGTAATCATCTTACCATACATTAACATGCAGTTATAAGCACTATCAGGTACTTAATCCAGGACTAGACTGAGGAGGGTCTAACCCATGTTGGCTGGCTTCAGCTGCACAGCTAACATGATGTATGAACTTTTTTGAGTTTACCCTTTTATACTTTATGTATCAGAACCTATATGACTATAGTCACTGCTTTAATCAATTCCTTTTTGTATTAAAGCCATGTAGAACTACCCCTGATCATTGGGCTGCCTTCTTCAATGACTTTTCACCTGTTCTATGAGTTACCTTCCAGGTCAAGTTTTTCCAGCTAAGCCACATTCCAAGCCTAAGGTTTTCAACTAAGCATATCATTTTTCAAGGTCTTCCCACAGTGTTAACCACCTGCACTTTATATAACTGCAAATCATATATTTTCTTTTGCCAAGACAATTGAATGTTGTCTAAGCATACAAACATATGGCTTTCACAGCACTACCTTGCAATGGAGGGGAGTTTGATTGCAGTTGTCCAGGGTGCATGAGGATGGTGCTCCACTGATGATCCGATCCTTCTGCAAAAGTGAACCAGAATCAACTGAGGGGGATGTGATTCATAGTTTCCACTTCTGCCCATGCATGGCTAGGTGAAGTTTCCAGAACTCTGTCTCACTTTCTTCAAGAACACTCCTGTGTATCTTGTAAAAGGCTGGACTGGGGTACTTTGAAGGGTAAAAAAAATCCAAGCAAAAGATTAAGTTGGCAAATGCTAATGAACACCAAAACTATTATATAAGTACCAGCTGAGTGAGCACAAAGCCAGTGGGGTAGCTTCACCTTTAAAGTATCCAGAGTTGTCATTCTTGAAGTTGAGGTTTCCATCAAGGAATGTGTGTGAGGGTATAGGCTGGAATGGAAAACTAATGTGGACAACTTTTGATGACGGTGAGACTCCTGCCATGGGCATGTGTCTATGTGGCTGGAGGACTGTGGGTCCCACTGGGAGGTCTATTGAAATGCCAGTGAGACTCTTTGTATTGAAGAGAACCTGTTAATGGAATAGGTAGAGATAACTGTGAAGAAGGGAAAGGAGACACAGGTCATAGTGAGATCTTCTGTAACAGCCCTAAAAAAAAAAAAAGAGAGAAATGAAGAATTTGGGAAAAGTTCCCCTTAAGATTGGTTTTCAGATTGATTGACTGACTTTGCAGGAGATCTGCATATCTTGTAGGTGGCACTCAGCTTTGACTGCAGCAGAGGCTATGGACCCTAAACTCCTTTTGAACGTTTGTCAAAACACAAATAAGTGTAAAGAGAAGTAATGCAGACAATCAGTGTACCCCACTTACTGTAGCTGGGCTTGAGTCTCTTACTATCTGGTGATCTTTGTCATATCAGCCATGGGTTCTAAGTTCTGTTTAGAGCAAAATGTTTAGGCTTCAGAAATCCCTCCAAATTAAATGTCTGCCGCTATCCTTGGAAAGCACACAGGCACTCTTGTATCAGGAAGTTATGCTGCAGAAGAACTTGTCCCTTTTGGCTTGTGCCACATGGTGAAAAAGAATTCCAGGTATTTAATTAGAGACAAAAGGACTCTGGCCTATGCCAGATCTCAGAACAGAATCAGTAATTGGTCAAGGAAGAATTCATTGTATCATCTTTTGTACCATTATGCTTGTAGGATAAGGCAACTGATTGTGCTCTGGATCTCATGAATGAATTATTAGTGATGCATTAGTGGTTCTTCCCTAGCACCTAGAGTGCTTGATTGTAAGAGTAGCAGTTTTATCTGGCCTGATGTTAGTGCTGGGTTCTTCCCTAGCACCTAGAGTGCTTGATTGTAAGTGCTATATTCTTTTCACTAAGTTGAGGCCTGCTTTCAGAGTTTGGGAATAGATGTTGCCTTTCTTGGATGACTAGATGATAAGGATCCTACTTTGGAGGATCTCTTCATACTCACAACAAGTATGTTGACAATGCTTTGGTTTGTGCTTTAGCTGTTCAAAACCTGTACTCAGCCAATACATGGAGTGCATAAAAGCCCTGAAGTATTCCTATGCTATGATAGAATCCAAGATATTACCATGTTGCTGAGTAGGATTTATCAGCCAGAAAACATCATGATTTAAACTGACGTGAAAACTGGATTTTTATTAATGAAATTATGGTATCCATGGCACAAGGCAGCCTCAGCAGACCCCAAATTCCAGTTGAGAACAAACATTGCAGGAACTATTACATAGCAAACAAACTCTAAGTTTCACAGGCCTGATGACCGTCCAAGGACAAATCTGCTATTAAGAATGGGTTTTAAAATGCATGTATGTCCAAATCTTGCGAATCCCTCCCTCTACAAACTTGTTTTTTCCAGGAACAGCTTCATACAGATGCTCTGGAGATGGGGTTGGTACTATTAGCAATGAGGCTAGATCCTGTCTGATTTCCTGTGAGTCAGTGTATTCATATTTTTGGGACTGATCCAGATAATTTCAGCAAAGGACAGATTGACCTGCCCAAAGCTGATCTAATCCATCAAGTGCAAGTCCGCTATTCTGGCAATGAAAATGAGAAATTTGTCATGACTGCAAGTTTGGGAACAGACTTGGTCATAAATCAATAGCCAGGTTTATGTAATTGTACTCCCATTTTCCAAAGAGTTCTAACTTTGAATAGACAGTAATGTGCAGTATGTTACAACACTTGCAACCCAAAGAGACTCAGTTTTGTTTGTATTGGCTGTAGACTGTTTACAGTTGTATGCACAATTGGCCTTCATCTAATTGGGATTGCCACAATGCCCCTCCTAGAAATGCTTAGGTAGGACAGGCTTTTATTGCACTGTATTGTATTTTATTGTGCTTTCAGATAATTTGGATGTCTGGATGGATTTGTCTCCCGTAATTTACTTTCAGTGTTTGGGCAGGACAACATTGGAAATGGAGCTGGACTGCTACCTGCTATTGCTTAGAAAATAGCTCAAGTTTCACAGAACTAATGGCTGTGATACTGTGTTCATTGCAGCAATAACTAGCTGAACTCCTACTTGTGGTTCCAGCGCAGTGAAGGGGATGGGTTTTGGGAATCTCTGTGAAAAATCAGTGTGAAATAAAGCAAAATGCAGGACAATGTAGCACTTTAAAGACTAACAAGATGGTTTATTAGATGATGAGCTTTCGTGGGCCAGACCCACTTCCTCAGATCAAATAGTGGAAGAAAACAGTCACAACCATATATACCAAAGGATACTTTGGTATATATGGTTGTGACTATTTTCTTCCACTATTTGATCTGAGGAAGTGGGTCTGGCCCACGAAAGCTCATCATCTAATAAACCATCTCGTTAGTCTTTAAAGTGCTACATTGTCCTGCATTTTGCTTCAGCTACCCCAGACTAACACGGCTACATTTCTATCACTATTCTAGTGTGAAATAAAACATTCACAACCACCTTTTTAACCTTATTTGGGTTTAAATCTTTCCTTTTAGAGATTGTCATGGTGAATCTTGAGATTCTATTTTGCCTGGGCAGGGGAGATGAGTTTAACGTCTAGTTGGGCAGAAAATAAAAATGTACAAAGCCTGTTCTAAAGAAATCTCCCACACCATATTACTTGATGTCTCTATCTAATAAATTGTGTAGAAACAATATATGAGAATAGCCTTCATTTATATTCTTGTTTTTCATGCTAAATTGTCTCTGGATCATTCCAGAAATCTTTTAAATTGCCCAACTAAAATTTTATAATTTTAACTTGTTTTTTTTCTTCAGATCACAGGATCATTCAGTTCAGCAAACTAACACCACAGGGAGTACTTCTACCACAACAACATCAAGCAGTAGTAGTACCTCCACACCAGCGTCAACAAACAGCAGCCCTTTTGGTTTGGGTATGATTCTTTATCTTCTAACTTTGTAGGTTAAGAATATTCCCTTTCCATAAATTATTACATTCTGTGTGCCTGGATATTCCAGTATGAGAGACACTTTTGAAAATAAGTTTTACAGTAATCTGTGAGTCTATAAAAACCAGACATTTAGAGGAAAGGGTTTAAGTACACTATTATAAGAATTTATTGTGGAAAATCTTGCATAGGGGAATTTTACTTGCACTGTTGCTTCATACAGCATGTCAACAATAGTAAAGTGCAGCTGCTACTGTAAAAATTATAGTGCTCTCTGTGAGCTTTGCATACTCTGCAATATATCTGGATTGGCCCAAAGAGTGGAGGGCACTGCATAAATTGAGTCCATATTGTCATCCAGATCATGAAGAACCATAACAAAACTGCTGCCCTATCTATAACCTTACTTCTATGACCAAAATTAATCACTGGGCCTAATAGCGCTATCTTACCTTCTCTTACATGACGTACATATCCCAGGCACACATGTTCTGCAGCTGAAAAGTGGTTTTCTGCTGTTGCTTGTGCCAGACTTAGCACTAGTGATTCAGGCCCTCTGTCTCTTGTTTCATTTTCTAAAAAATGAATGGAATAAAATAGTTAAACTTAAGCATTTGCTGTTTTGGGTTTAAAGTGGCTTAGATTTTCACAAGTGATTTTGTTTCCACAATTTTGGGGTCAGTTTCAAGTTATATAATTTAGACATCTTGAAGGTTGTAGAAAACTATTTTACCTTGTTTTTAGTACTTAGTGCAAAAGGAGCTGGAAAAGTTCTGTTTCATCACAATAAAAGGAAATGCACTGTATTATAATGCTTTATTTACAAACCTATATGCAATTGATTTAGAAATGTTTTAAAAGCAAAAAGTTCAATATTTTTTTCTTCTCTTTTTAAGGTGGCCTCGGAGGACTTGCCAGTTTGAGTGGCCTGGGACTGAACACATCTAACTTTTCAGAGTTACAAAGTCAGATGCAGCGACAGCTCATGTCCAACCCAGAAATGATGGTTCAGATAATGGAAAATCCCTTTGTTCAGAGCATGCTTTCGAATCCTGACCTGATGAGACAATTGATTATGGCCAATCCTCAAATGCAGCAATTGATACAGCGAAATCCAGAGATTAGTCACATGCTTAATAATCCAGATATAATGAGACAAGTATGTTGAAAGTTCTCTGTATATTAATAAACTTTAAAATTATGTAATAACATTAAATATGTGAATTTGAGTGTTTGAAACACTGGTGAGAAATTTAGGCTTATGGGAAAACTCAGATTACTACTCTATGCAAATGCTGTTTTTTCTAGTTACTAATGTCTGAAATAGTTTAATGTGTGGTCTTTAATATTAAATAACTTATAGCATTCCCTGGGCAGTATTTTAGGATTACATTAGCAGATTTTCTAAAGTTAAACTAGGACAGAATTTCTGTGCACTTCAGATCTCTTATTTTGATGGGAAAGAAGGATTGTTATACAGCCAATAATGCACTTGCCAGAAAAAGCCAACATTGCTTTAATTTTTTAGTGCTTCAGTCAGATTTTAAATGCAGTGTAAAGCTGCTGGTATATATCTCTGTTGTAGAGGCTTTTAAGACACAAACTAATAAATACTATGGATTTGAGAAACCAGGTATTTAATTCTAGTGGTTTCTGTATGGAAGCAGCATACTGTATTTCTGAGTTGAATCTAGATTTTGTAAATTCCCTAGTTCTGTGTGGATAGAAGTGAACTTGGACATAACATTGTGTTCCTTCTTCTCTCCTGCCCAGTGCCATATATCATAGTCGTTCTATCAAGTACTTTGTCAAGTACTATATAACTAAACTTTAAACATTTTTATAATTTTGGCAAAATGTTGAATGAAAATTCAGTTGATTTAATTTTCTAATGATTCCATCAAGAAAAATTCTCACTCTAGCTTCGACAGTAATTCAAACTAACAGCAGCAGGTTAGATAATATATAAATAAAAAATATAATTAAAGTTTTTATGATGGGGACATTGCTTCAGATGCTGTTTTCACAGAATCGAATTTTTCCTAGCACTGATTAAATGTTCCACTTTCTTAGACATTAGAACTAGCAAGAAACCCTGCAATGATGCAAGAAATGATGAGAAACCAAGACCGAGCCTTGAGCAACCTTGAGAGTATACCAGGTGGATACAATGCTTTGCGACGCATGTATACAGATATTCAGGAGCCAATGTTGAATGCAGCCCAAGAACAGGTGAGAAATGGGTACATTGAACTGTAGCCAATGACTTCAGTTATTCTCTTATTGTGTGATGTTGATTGCTATAGCATATATATTCATTTTATGGCAGTTACTGTTGATTTGTAAAATGAATAAGTATAAGAGAGTTCCTCTAAATAGCAACCTAGTGAATAAGACAAGCTGAAATACAAGAACCTGTTGGCAAACCCAGCAAGACTTTAGCTTAGATGTTTTAGGATACATTTCTTGAAGACAAGAAATGAAGACACAAGTGACCAGAAGAGAACCTGATGCCCTAAGATTATGGGAAAGGAGGTACCAAGTGAACATGGTGCACAAAATTACCCAGAAGATGAACATTAGATTATAAAAACTGTAAAAATGCATCTATTTCAGACATGTGTTTTAATCCCAGGATATAGGTTGTGTAAATGATAATGAGAATAAAGGGAGCTTACTCAGACTATCGGAAAATTGGGTCCCTTAAGTATCCAGGGGACACAGACTAGTAAGAGAAAAGAGGATGGACACTTATAGGGACATGTGCAGAATGTAAATGTAGACAGATTCACATTATAAAAAGGAGATGCCCAGAATGGGAAAACTGAGCTCCCCTGGGAGAATCCAGCAGGTACCGTCCCTCTACTAATGAGCAAGCTATGAGAGACCCATCAGACCCTAACTCTACATCAAGAATGAGTATAACTGGACTGGTGCATGGCTCTGTATAGAATCTCTGTGTGTAGGTAATCATAACTTTAATGCACATTGAATAATTATAAAATAGGCTAAACCTTGTACTGGTGAATGTATGTGTGGTCACCGCCTTTGGTCTTTGTGTTCCTAGAGACTCTAAATTTGAAGCAAATACGGTGACTTTCACTCTTATGCTTGAAACTGTAGCTGCCAGAGCTGAACTAATGGTGATGGTAATACATTACAAAATATATTTAAAAGGCTAATATTAAATCAGACAGACTGCTCTGAGAATTATAGTCTTCAAGTTGGTAATAGTGCATATATATCTCAAAGCCTGTCATTTCTAGCAAAGCTAAAACTGATGGTTTTAATGGATGGTATTCCTTGTTTTTCCTCCTTTATAGTTTGGAGGTAACCCATTTGCTTCCTTGGTAAGCAGTGTATCGTCAGGTGGGGACAGTCAGCCATCTCGTACAGAAAACAGAGACCCTTTACCAAATCCTTGGGCTCCTCAATCTAGTTCTCAGAGTTCTACAACCGGTAGCAGCAACAGTGGTGAAACTGGGGGCAGTAGTAGCATTGGAAATAGCACTACCAGCAGTACAGGACCAGGCTCAACCATGCCTAATTTGGGACCTGGAGCTGGAGGTATGTTCGTTATGATAGACTTGTATTTACTTGCACTTATTCAGGAAATGTCTGAAATGATAGACATTCATGTATTAGAAAAGGTTGTGTTTAAATGATTTAGTGTTACTAATATTTACTTGCATAGTTCTTTACTAATATCAAATTCCTATGTAGGAAAACAAACATGCAAAGTAAACTTATCTCAAGAACACTGGAGCCACTGCTAAAATAACAATATAGGTAGAGACCTGCTAGGCAAATTAAAAGCATTCTGCCCGGTAGATAGTGCAAAGTCCAATAATGTAAGTATTGGATAAAATATTGTTAAATACAGCTTATATTTTAAATTATAAAATTAATGTTCCAACATCAGTCATTAATTTGTATTATTATGGTATGTAGGGGCCCTAGTCATTGACCATGGCATCATTGTAGTAGACACTGCATAACCATATAAGAAAAATGATGGCCTGTGCATCAAAGCTCTTATCGTCTAAATCTTATCGTCAAGTAGTAAAGGGTGGAGAACACATATAGGAAGAGCCTAAGGAAACCATAAAACAGCAGCGATCAGCATTAGTCGTGGTATTTAGCTGTTGTTTGGTATCCAGTTTCTTGTAGGCATCACAGCAAACCACAGTTTAAGGATTTAGAGGATGTTTGTAGGGATCACCTCTGTGTGTTGCACAAAATAGCTTGTTTGAAAATTCAGTAAATAATTGATGCAGGTTGGCATTTCTGGCAGAGTGGAGGTCAGTTAACATATCTGCTACTAAAATTATTTTATTTAAGCAAATTATTGGTGGTGCTGGTATCAAGGCTTATAATGGAGGTGGTTGAACATTTCACATTCTTAAACCTTTTTTTCAGTTGCCTATAACTTCACTATGCTAACAGTTCAGTCTGAAAACTTTTATGTTGCTATATATTTAACATTCAATATTTTTAAATTTATCAAAATTATTCTCCATTTCTGAGAACAAAAATAGGGAAAACATGGGTAACTCATGTTAAAAATAAAATTTTGTATTGTCTTTCTTGAAGCCCTAGTATTTCAGTGGTTTAAAAGAGAGAGAAAGTAATTACGATTTAACTGTTTTTACATCCATAACCATGTAACTGATTATAATTCAGTTGGCTAAATGCTGCCGACCCTGCAGGCTCCTAATGCCACTTGCTCGCAGGAGCTTAACCGTTAATTGGAACCGAGATGCTAACTGGTTAATGAGTTAAATTTAAACTCTTACATCTCTAAAAGCAATTGCCCTATTATAAAGGTTGTGTCTTTTGCTATTCCAATGAAAACATAGGAAAAACTTACGTTACATTTCTTTGAAAATGCGGCGAGGAGTCCTGTGGCACCGTATAGACTAACTGAAGTCTAGGAGCATAAGCTTTGCCACGGAAGCTTATGCTTATGCTCCTACACTTCAGCTTATGCTCCTACACTTCAGTTAGTCTATAAGGTGCCACAGGACTCCTCGCCGCTTTTGCAGATTCAGACTAACATGGCTACCCCTCTGATTCTTTGCAACTAGCGCTTAGCTTGTGCTCAGAAATCTGTTAGTGGCTGGCAGCAGTGTTCACTGAAGATTCCATCTTCACTGAGTGTGCCCCATCCCACGCAGCTACTAAACATTCAGTATCCCCAAGTTGCAGGGCCACTGTGTGTGAGTCCAGGCACCAAAAGAGAGAACAAGGAGACTTTTGTGCTCTGAGAGTCCCCTGCTAGTTCTCAGCATGGAGGGAAAAACAGCCTGACTTGCTCCAGTGTAGAGAGGAGGAAGGGTCAGTCTTCTGGTTAGGTCAGGTAAGGTGTGGGTGTGCATGCTCAGGGGGATAAATATGGGGAGGGAGACAAGAACAGGCATGGAGCAGAAGGAGAGGTACAGAAACTCAAACTCTATATAGAGTTTTGGTGTCCAAGATAATCTTGCATGGTGTCGAGTATCAGAGAGGTAGCCATGTTAGTCTGAATCTGTAAAAGTGGCGAGGAGTCCTGTGGCACCTTATAGACTAACACTGGACACCACGGTGCAAATAAGTGACGGTGACATAAACACCACCCTATACCGAAAGCCTACCGACCGCTATGCTTATCTGCATGCTCCAGCTTCCATCCCGGACACACCACACGATCCATTGTTTACAGCGAAGCACTGAGGTACAACTGCATATGCTCCAACCCCTCGGACAGAGACTTACACCTACAAGATCTTCAACAAGCATTGTGTAAACTACGATACCCACACAAGGAAGTGAGGAGACAGATTAACAGAACCAGACGTGTACCCAGAAGCCTCCTGCTACAGGACAAGCCCAAGAAAGAAACCAACAGAACACCACTGACTATCACCTACAGTCCTCAGCTAAAACCTCTCCAACACATCATTAGTGACCTACAACCCATCCTGGACAATGATCCCTCACTTTCTGCCTTGGGAGGCAGGCCAGTCCTCGCCCACAGACAACCCGCCAACCTGAAGCATATTCTCACCAGCACCATATACACCTATATGGTGTACTGTATACAACTATACACTGCACCATAATAACTCCTACTCAGGAACCAATCCATGCAACAAACCTCGGTGCCAACTCTGCCCACATATATACACCAGCAACACCATCACAGGACCTAACAAGGTCAGCCATACTGTCACTGGTTCATTCTCCTGCATATCTACTAACGTAATATATGCCATCATGTGCCAACAATGCCCCTCTGCTTTATATATGGGCCAAACTGGATAGTCCCTACATAAAGGAATAAATGGACACAAATCAGATATTAGGAATGGCAATATACAAAAACCTGTAGGGGAACACTTCAATCTCCCTGGACACACAATTGCAGATCTAAAGGTAGCAAAAAAACTTCAGGACCAGAATTCAAAGAGAAACTGCTGAGCTACAGTTCATCTTCAAGTTTGACACAATCAACTCAGGATTAAACAAAGACTGTGAATGGCTAGCTAACTACAAAAGCAGCTTCTCCTCTCTTGCTATTCACACCTCCAGATCAGCTACTAGAAGTGGGCCTCATCCTCCCTGATTGAATCCACCTTGTCATCTCTAGCCTGATTCTGGCCTGCATATTTATACCTGCCTGTGGAAATTTCCACTACATGCATCTGACGAAGTGGGTCTTTGCCCACGAAAGCTTATGCTCCAACACTTCAGTTGGTCTATAAGGTGCCACAGGACTCCTCGCTGCTTTTGCAAGATAATCTTGGGTTTTTTGGTTTTTTTAATTGTGAAAGTTTCAAATTAGTTTCATTTTGTGCTGGTGTTAAAAAATGTGCAAAATGGAAAGTTAGAATATTTTGATTTCCATGTCCAATGCCCCTCACTCATAACTGTTGGTTACATATTGAAGTTTCGCAGGTTAAGAAAGAACTTGTTTGCAGTGTGCTCCTGCGCAACTTGGAAGTTGACATCTCTTCCGAGTGGTTTGCAAGCTTACTAATGTCTGTAGATTATTCAAACTACTCAAAAAGCACACCATATTCTTCCTGTACAAAGTATGGGAAGAGGTGTGCTGGATCTGACTTGGTAGTGACATCACATAGTCAGATGGTGGAGGAGTGACTAAAATAAATAACCGAGGAAATGTAAATTAATATTTTAAGATACAAATCCAGAACTGTGTGTAGGGAGTCCCGTGTAGTTTTGGTACCGTTTGTGATGAGATAATCAGGTTTTCTGAACTGTTTAGAAGAGTTATGGAGAGTTAAGTGTGCAGTTTGGCCTTTATTACTTGTACTGCCTTTTCTGCCACTGTTAAAACCTAGTTTTCATATTTAAACCTGCCTTCCTAAAAAAAAAAAAAAAAAGTAATTTGTTCTTGAGATATTTGTTGAAATTAAGCACTAGTTACTTCTAAAATATTAAAACACTTGGCATTTTTCATTTGATAGTGGGTTAAATGTGGAGAAGTTTTTTGAAATACATTGTGGCCAATGTCCATTAAAGACCATAATTAGTGTCTCATGTCAAATTATGGAAACGAATTTGCACTCATTGCCATATTTAATTATAATTAAATAAAAATGTATCTGTTACTATTTTCATGGTTATGCGTTGCTGAAATGGCCATTTTCTACTTTTAAAGCTGGTATGTTCAACACTCCAGGAATGCAGAGCTTGTTGCAACAAATAACGGAAAATCCACAGCTTATGCAGAATATGTTGTCTGCACCTTATATGAGAAGCATGATGCAGTCACTAAGTCAGAACCCTGATCTTGCAGCACAGGTAAACAGGGAGGGGCGGGCATGTGTGTAGTCAACAAGATTAACGGATAAGCCTGAGCTTATCGATTAATCATGTTGTCCTCTACAGGATGACATCCCTAGCCCTCCCTCCCTCACTGAACTTGCATCCTGCACCCCCAAACCCATGCCTAAGGCCCTACCAATTTCACAACCATGATAAACATGTCACAGACCGTGAAATAAACCTTCCCCATGAAATTTGGTCTCCTTGTTCCTAGGAGCAATCCATCAAAGGGGGCTTCCTACCTCTGACTAAGCACGGGAAGGACAGGACACGACACATCCCTCTCTAGCAAACAGCTCTGGAGGTGGAAGTGCAGGAGGGTGGACCAGAGCAAACCCACCTCTAGGGATGCTTCTCTCTGTAGCAGGACATTGTCTGAGACTGGGCAGGAGCCTGAGGTTTCTGCAGATGGAATAGACTTGTGGAGTTGGATCATATCTTCCCTGTGCTGCTGGGAGAGCCCCCTATCAAAGGGGGCTTCCTACTTCTGACTGGGCAGGGGAAGGACAGGACTGTCCCTCCCCTGCAAACTGCTCTGGTGGTAGGATGGGGTGACTAGACAGGAACCATCTCTATCTCTTGGAACCTCCAGCAGCTGCAGGATTCAGGAAGCTCTCTGGTTGCTGCCCCTTCTGTGCTGCTTTCAGAGTTGTACTCTGAAGTAAGGATGGCAGTCCCATGAGCCTCCTACGACAGGTTTGTGATGATTCATGTCTTTTTGGGATCCCATGGTTACAACATGGTGATATTTCAGATTTAAACAGCTGAAAACATGAAGTTTACCTATTTTTTCCTATCCCATGACCATGAAATTGGCCATAATGGACTATGAATTTAATAGGGCCCTGCCCATTTCCCAGCGTCAACCCACAGGCCCCTCCCACACTCCGACCACCCTGCTGCCTATCTCCTGCACCAGCCTGGAGCAAGTGATGGGAGAGAGGTTGAGGGGAGATGGAGGGAGTGGGGTGGTGCAAAACAAGGGTGTTTCGGTTTGTGCAGTTAGTTGGAATGGAAGTGCCTTGTGGAGTGGAACGAAAAGTATCTCATGCTTTAAAACAAAACCTAACGGGAGCTTCAGTGGCTTTTTGCATACATTGAATATTTGCATAAAGGAATAGTCCTTGAGTATGTTATGTGCAAGCCTATCCAATTCATCCTTTTCGCGCTGTCTCATCTGCAAGGAGGGGATGTTTATGCATATATCTTGGTACTTCCATTTGGATAAAAACAAAACAGCCCCCCACTGTCTTGCACTGTGTTAGATGACTCAATGCTTATCAGAAATTGGTTTTGGATAGTAAGTAAAGGAAAATAGCATGGTAATGTAAACAATTTTTTTCAAAGAACATCCTAATTGTCATGTAAAACAGTTAATTATAAATAAACTAAATATACAAGTTGCACTAAATCACCTTTTTCTGGTGGTGCCGGGAGGGAAGCAGCTTTATTTCTGTATTGAGTATTTTCAGCTAAAATTGAACATTTGCCCCATAGATGATGCTGAATAATCCCTTATTTGCTGGAAATCCTCAGCTTCAGGAACAAATGAGACAACAACTGCCAACTTTCCTTCAACAAGTGAGTAAAAGAGTAGTGTAGCCAAATTGCATACATATGGTCTTTTTATTCTGGTTGAAAGTATAAAGGCCTGATCTGTTCTATTGCAAACACTCGCTTCAATTGGGGGATTGGTCTTTTAGATATTAAATTGTAAATGGCTGATTCATCAGATTCACTTCTCCATTCCAGTTGATATCCAAAGTTACATACCTATTAGAAGATAAGTATTGCTTCTACTTTCTGTTTGGAATGAATAATTACTTAATTTCAGATTATAGTTTGTCTAATTTTTTCTTGTGCTGCTTTGCAAATACTAAACCAAACTAAATCCTCCACCAGTAACATGAGCTCTTGGTTTGCATTTCCCTCCCCAAAATATAGAGGCCAGATAGAGTTCCTTGAATGAGACAGTCCACTATGTCAGCATAGGAAGCCACAAACCATGACACACATTATTGAGGCCTGTGCAATGACGCAACTTCCTGGAGGTCGTCGTGCCTTGAGCATAGTTGATACGAATTCTGGGGCTCGGCTTGACTTGTTTAGACTGCATAGTTTAGGGATGTAAAATCCTGTTAACTGGTTAAACATTAAGTTTAACCAGTTAAACAGGGTCGAGCAAGGGGCAGCTCCAGCCCCTTGCTGGAGTTGTTCCCCCACCGCCACAGACGAGGCCTTGTCTGGCCAGGCTGGAGAGACCCTTCGCTCCAGGCAGGAGGCGAGGAGAAAGCTGCTCCAGCTCCTACCAGTTAATGGTAACTGGTAAGCCTCATCCTTACAAGGAGGGGCTTACCGGTTAACCATTAACATCTCTTTTGCATGTGTCATAAAATCACCTTTGTTTTTTCTGGATTAAGCTTTAACTAGATCACTCATTGTGGGTCTCCCCAGAGGCTGGGTCAGATGTTCAAACCACTGAGCTGAGTGAGATGAAGATGCAGAGCTAAAAACATTGCAGCTCATACATCTGCGCTAACCTGTTAGATGACCCCCCCAGTGGGGAAGATGTGACTGAATCCCATGGCAATTGTAGTGATGGTGTCTTTTGAGATGGTGAGGATTGCATAGTTGTCCGTGGGAATGCTTTGGCAAGGAAGAACGCACACATCTGTGTGCCACCCTATCCACTCCTGGGAGAGATCCTAATCCATCAACGTCGTTTCTGATCTGTACTCAGGTCTGTACTAGATTAACGTGGCTAAGATGATCTAAGACATTTAAGTTGTCTAGCCAAAATTATTTCTATTATAACAAAACTCAGAATATTGGACGCTATATGATAAGTTGTCAACATGATGTTTAAAGATGTTGGCATTGGATTCTTCCTTAGACACTGACACATTTCACCAGCTGTGGATCTACATCTTTTCCTTTGGACTTCACCAACCTATTTCAAAGACACATCGTGGGCATGAAGGGACCCCAGCACTTTTAATATCTCAATGAGTTTTACTAGCCTGAATTTAATCAGGGAAGATTTAGAATTTGTCTCTTCAGATCCTGTTCTGTATCTGTTGAAGCTAACAAGTTCCTGAGCCCAAACATCTACACCCCAGTTTTATAGCTTTACAGCCTGAGCCCCGTGAGCCTGTCAGGTGCCAGAGGTGTTCTTTCTTATAGTGTAGACATAACCTAAGGGAAAAACTGAAGAAGAGGGTGGTTAGAAGCCTAATGTGTTTTTTATAGGATTTTTATCTTATACTAAAACATCCAATAAGAATGGTCATTAGAAGAGCTGCTACTTCTCATAGGACCTTTTAGAATCATAGAATATTAGAATTGGAAGGGACCTCAAGTCTAGTCCTCTGCAGTCATGGTAGAACCAAGCACCATCTAGATCAGGGGTGAGCAAAAGGGCCTCTGTGGGCTGGATCCGGCCCACCAATTGGGTTGATCCGGCCCACAGAGGCCTTGCCGCTCCCCTGCCCCCAGGCCAATCAAGGCCTGGGAGGTGGGGAGTGCATGAAGTTTCCTCCACCCTGCCAGGAGCACGTAGCGCTGTGCATTCCTGGCAAGATGGGAGGAGACTTCACACACTTCCCCACCTGCCGAGCCCTGATTCGCCTGGGGACAGGAGGAGCATGCGAAATTTCTTCCGCCCTACCCCTGTCCTGCAAGGAGTGCGAGGCACTTCAGAGTGCTGCACATTCCCCACAGAGTGGGAGGAGGTTTTGCACGCTTCCCTGCCCCTAAGCCAATCAGAGCTTGGGGGCAGGGGAGTGCACGAACCTTCCTCCACCCTACCCCCGCCATGGGAGGAGCATGCGGCACTTAAAGTGCTGCACGTGCCTTCCAGGGCAGAGGAAACTTTGTGTACTCCCCTGCCTCCAAGCTCTGATTGGCCTGGGGGTTAGGGTGTGTGCGAAACCTGCTCCTCACGGGGGAGGGGGGGGAGGGTGGAGGAAACTTTGTGTTCTTCTCCTGTCCCCAGGCCAATCAGAGTTTGGGGGCAGGGGAACGCGTGAAGTCTCCTCCTGCCCTGCCAGGAGCGCATGGCGCTTCGCAGTACTAAGTGCTCCTGGCAGGGCAGAGAAAACTTGGTTCGCTTCCCCTTCCTGGGCGAGGGGGAACCTCTTCCTGCCCTGCCAAAGGCATGGCAAAGGGGCTCCCCCACCCCCAGACCAATTATGGTCTGTAGGTGGGGAAGCCTGGAAGCATCCTGACCCTGCCTCTTTGAGGGTGGCCCCTGCCAAAAATTATTGCCCACCCCTAATCTGGATAATCTCTGACAGGTGTTTGTCTAACCTGGTCTTTAAAATCTCCAATGATGGTGATTCCACAACTTCTCTAGGCAATTTATTCCAGTGCTTAATCACCCTGACAGGAAGTTTTTCCTGATGTCCAATCTAAACCTCCCATGCTGCAATTTAAGCCCATTGCTTCTTGTTTTATTAGAGATTAACGAGAATAGTTTTTCTCCCTCTTCCTTGTAACACCCTCTTTTGCACTTAAAACTGTTATCATATCCCTTCAGTCTTCCCTTTTCCATACTAAACAAACCCAATTCTTTCAAACTTCCCTCATAGATCACATACTGTAGACCAGTGAGTGGTCCCCAACCTTTTGGGGCTGCCTGGGGTGAGGCTGCTCATGCGCCACGCGCCCAGGGCCGGCACCGCACATGCACCCCGGGGCAGAGGCCATGCATGTGCCACGTACTGGGGTGGCAAGGCAACCCAAATCATGCGGAGGGTGCACATAAATGCCCTGGCGGGCGCCATGGCGCCTGTGGGCACCACGTTGGGAACCACTGCTCTAGACCTTTGTTGCTCTTCTCTGGACCTTCTCCAGTTTGTCCCCATCTTTCTTCAAGTGAGATGCCCAGAACTAGATGCAATTCTCTAATCAACACAGAGTAGAGCAGAAGAATTACATCTCGTCTGTCTCTACATTGGCGCAATCTTGCGCCAAAGCGGCTGCTTTTGCGCAAAAACATGCTGCCTGTCTACACTGACGGGGAGTTCTTGCGCAAGAACACTGACGTTCTAATGTGTAAAATGAGTGCTTCTTGTGCAAGAACTATGGTGCTCCTGCTCAGGAATAAGCCCTCTTGTGCAACTGTTCTTGTACAAGAGGCCAGTGTAGACAGGCAACATGAATTTTTTGGGCAAGAAAGCCCAATGGCTAAAATCCGTCTACACTGGCACGGATGCTCTTGTGCAAAAGCAAATCTCATGAAAACTCACATGCCAGTGTACACACACTCTTGCGCAAATATTTGTTAAAGAATATTTGCGCAAAATCTTGCCGATGTAGCCCTCATGTTTTGCTTATAACACTGTTGTTATACATCCCAGAATGTACATCCATTTTGCTATTTTTGTGTGTATTTGTGCAACTGTTGACTCATATTTAGCTTGTGGTCCACTATGACCCCTACATACCTTTTTTCAATACTGCTTCCTAGACAGTCACTTTACAATTTATATGTGTGCACAGTGCTTTTTTTGTTTAAAAATAAAAGTGCCGGTACTCCAGGGGAAAAGTTGTTGAGCTCTGACTGGAAGTGCCGGTACTGCGTCTGGAGGTGCCGGCATTGCGTACCGGTCAGTACTGTCACAAAAAAAGCACTGTGTGCGCAACTGATTGTTCATTCTTCAGTGGAATACTTTGATTTTTTTCTTATTGAATTTCATCCTGTTTACTTCTGATCATTTTTTCAGTTTGTGCAGATCATTTTGAATTATGTCCCTAGCCTCCAAAGCAGTTGCAAACCCTCCCAGCTTGGTATAATCCACACGCTTTATAAGCATACTATCTATGCCCACAGTGTCCAACCAGTTCTGAGGCAGTAGCCACTATAATGAACTAGCCACACTCAACTGGCCAAATAGCCATATGTGGCTAGCATGTTGGACACCACAGCTCTCTGCCATTATCTAAATAGTTGCTAAAGATACAGAACGGAATCTGTCCCAAAACTAATCCCTGCAGGACCCCACTCAATATGCCTTTCTAGCATGACACTGAACAATTGATGACTATTCTCTGGGTACCCTAGCTCCTACCTCCCCCAACCCTCTGCTCCTCTACCCCATGTAACCCAAACCTTCTTTCTACACCCCTGCTCCAGCCCTCTTCTCCCCCCACACACACACCTTCTCAGACATTGCGTCCCCTCTTACGCCCCTCCTCAGGTCACAACTCCCTCTCAGACCTTGCACCCCAATCTGCTGTCCCTGGTTACAACCCAAATCCCTGCACCCCCTCCTGCCTCAGACTACAACCACCTGCACCCCCTCCTGCATCCCAGTCGGCTGCCCCAGATCACCCAAACTCCCTCTCGGATACCACACCCTAAACTCTTACTGCAAGCTCCCTTCTGCACCTAACCTTGATCCCAGACCCCTGCACCTCCTCCATTTAGTATAATGGAAGAGTGCAGCTCTTGACCACTTACCAAATTCTTGGAGTATGGTCCCCCCATCAAAAATTGCCTTCTTCTGATGTAGGTTTTATTTCCCTCGTTGTTTAATGAAGAGGTCATGCAAGACTGTATAAAATCCCTTACTCTTTAG